TGTACTTGGTGGGTACTCACTTCCTTCTGAGAGAGAGAGGAAGAGAGGTTGACAGAGGAGTGCTTTGAGGACATCATGTTTACTCTGATCTTTTATCTGATTGTCAACATATCTCATGAATAGGAAAAGTTAATTTGTCTTCATGTGAACTCTTTCCGACTTCCCCGTCTGTGGTCTCATCCTCAAACCCTGTCGGGTCCTTCCCAAGACGTGAATCTCAATAAAAAGAAGCGGGTCAGTTATTGTAGATTTTTAAAGCAAACAACAGGAGTTAACGGCCTTCCACAGTTAACAACGCTACAACGTTCATGAAGCACTTGATTTAGCTTTCATTCCTCATCTTTTAAAACGACATATTTATCATTATAGTTATCTTTCTTTCTGTGGGCGGCCCTCGTTTGTTGGGGACTATTTCCGGCGGAGGATTAATACACATCTGCTGTCGTTGTCGTGCGGCTCATTGATCATTTCTGGACAACAATGGATCTCTGAGCACAAAGGAATAAGATGTATTCTATAAGTCTTTGTTAGGATCAATTCATTGTTGTTTGACAATGAAAAAAACTATAAAATATCACCCCCTCTGTCTCTCTCTCTCTCTCCCTCTGTCTCTCTCTCTCTCTCTGTCTCTCTCTCTCTCTCCCTCTGTCTCTCTCTCTCCCTCTCTCTCTCTCTCTGTCTCTCTCTCTCTCTCCCTCCCTCCCTCTCTCCTTCTCTCTCTCTCTCTCTTTCTCTGAGAACAGGTAGCTTTTTGCAGCCAGCTTGCTGTTGCCATGGTAACTCGCCGCTCTTCCTCTCTCCTCCCTAAAATAAAAAAGAGAAAGGAGAGAGAGAGAGGAATAAAGAGAAATGGTAGCGGAAGAAAAAGTGAGTGAAAGAAGAAGAAGAAGGGAGAAGTAGGTGAAGGAAGGAAGATGCAGTTTGAGGAAAGACAGAACGAGAGAAGAGGAAGATGGAGGGATGCGGGATGAAAGGATGATGAATGAAGGATAATGAGGGATCGTTTTTGTCACAGCGCCCTCCTCCCGCCTCTTCCTCCTGCACTTCTCGCTCCGGCAATTTCATGAATGGCTGAAACTCTGAAGATGTGAATGCAGAGAGGGCTGAGAGACAGAGAGACAGACAGGCTGTAGGCAGACAGACAGACTGACAGACAGACAGAGAGAGAGACAGACAGACAGAGAGACAGACTGTAGGCAGACAGACAGACTGACAGACAGACAGAGAGAGAGACAGACAGACAGAGAGACAGACAGGCTGTAGGCAGACAGACAGACTGACTGACAGACAGACAGACAGACTGTAGGCAGACAGACAGAGAGACAGACAGACTGTAGGCAGACAGACAGACAGACAGACAGACTGTAGGCAGACAGACAGACTGACAGACAGACAGACAGACAGACAGACAGACAGACTGTAGGCAGACAGACAGACTGACAGACAGACAGACAGACAGACAGACAGACAGACAGACTGTAGGCAGACAGACAGAGAGACAGACTGAGAGGGTTAAGACAGTTATGTTTATTTTTGTTTTTCCACTGTCAATTTACAACCTCCCTAATATTTGATTTCAGGGACATTTTAGTCATTTTGAGGGAGATTTGTTAAATATGTATTTAGACGCACGTTGCCTGTGCAATTATTTTGCTCTTTCATAAATGACACACACACATTCATTTAAGAGCATCCGTTGATTTCTCATCTTAAATGTGAACCTGTGCACGATGTATAAGTGCAGGAAGACAAAGAGACTGTATCTACATTTCTAATGAACGTGCACCTCATGGCTGTACACTGAAACACAAGCAGCAACACTTATCTAATCGCTTTCTACAGGAAGTTAATAGAGTGAATACAGGTGCACATTTTGATTGGTGGAAAGAGATAGAAAGAGAGAGATAATAGAGTTAGGGGGAGAGAGAGAGAGAGAGAGAGAGAGAGAGAGAGAGAGAGAGAGAGAGAGAGAGAGAGAGAGAGAGAGAGAGTTTTTGTCAAAAATCCCTTAAATGACCAAAACCAACATGGGTTTTGTCCGTCTCTAAACTTTTTTAGAAAAGTCCTTTTTTGGGGCATTTTGGTCAGACAAAGATCCAGTTGTTATGCAAATGTTGTCTATTTAAGTAAATTAGTGGTTGGCAATCTTTGTGCAGTTGCTACTTTTTTGTTAAGCCTGTAAATTTGTTCATTAATTCTACAGAAGCGGTCAATAATAAGGCTCGCAGACATCATTTACAACAAGAAAGAAAAGAATCGTAGACTATGAAACAGGCATTTCGTCAATGCAGTCCTGGATGTAGTGTGATTGGGGAGTTTAACAGAAACACATACCCCTTTCCCCCCAAAATTAGCTCTTTTATGAAGGTTTTTTAAACACAAGAGAACCCCCCCAAAATAGGAGATAGACTCCTTTCCCATTGCCAGTAAGCTTTAGTAGAAGACTTGCCTGGTGTGTCACGTTCAACATCACAAACAGCGTTTAACGATGGTCAGTGAGGTAAAATGATCGTTTCTATCAATAGAGTCTTTGAGCTTTGAGGAGCTTTGAGGAGCCCATACAACGGCTGTTTCTCTTCACGTCTAACTCCGTGAATTAAGCGTTTATTTCTACCAAACCAGAGTTGGCGATTGTTAAAACAGTGTTTTTTAGTCCAGTGGGAAAGCAGCTGCAGAGAGGCATTCATGCTGTCGAGCTGCAGACAGTCTAATCTTCACAGTTTACCAGGAATCAAACGGAGGCGGAACTTTTCGGAACTGCTCCAAATCCTATTGGCTCCACATTGGAACCGTTGATGTTTTGAGCACCTGTAGGACTTTCCTTGTGCCTGTTGGTTTAAGCTCTCCAGTTCATCCTTGACCTTTGAAAGAGCGGTTGATAAAACAATCTCCTTTCACGGTCCTCATTCTCTCTTTGACTGGAGCTTTTGACCGCATCGCATGGACTTCATCAGCTTCGTCAGCCTGAAGATGAGACGAGATGTTTGAGGCAGTTTTTGACCACATTGATGTGGATTCAAGGAATAATTCACCCACAAAATGACCAATGATCTCAATCATTCACCCCGTATTACTTTGAATTCTTGAAGAATACTTTGTTTTTCTGTCATGTCTCCACATTGAAGGGATAATTAAAAAAACAGAGTAAAATCCTGATCAATTGAAGTTAATGGGGTCAGCGTTTTACTCCTTCAGAGGGCAAAATGTTTTAAATATTCAGATTTTAACAAAAATGCCTGTGTTTGGGAAGTAGTTAGCATATGACTGGATAAATGAGCTGAGTTGTGTGAGAGTTAAATGTGGTCCCCATTAACTTCCATTCATCAAGACTTGTCTCCGTTTTTTGATTCCTCATTCGCTGCAGGGGCCTGTGGTAAAACGGGGTGAGTAATTGAAATAAAAATGGTTCTTCTGTGGTTGGAGGACTCATTTAAACCTGTAACGTCTGTGTTTCGGGGCAGGGTCTCTACCCACAAGGTCCACCACAGCCACAACTCACAGCAGGTGGGAGAGCAGTGAAGCCAGGGCCATACTGAAGAGACACTGTGATGAAAGAATCATTGTCTTGTCTCTCTGGTGAAGGCTGCTGACAGTTGAAATAGCGTCTGTTATTCATGGCTGCAGGAGCAACACAAAACACTCCCAGCCTCTGAACGGCGGCTCGATCAGAGACGAGGCCGACGGCGTCCTGAAAGAAAGACGGGCATGAATGTCACGTTGCTTGCTGCCTAAAACTGTCGAGATATTGTCCCTTTGATTGGATGTAATGAGGATAAAAGAGGCAGTCCGGTCCAGCAGGAAGTGGGTGAATGCATGACAGTCAGACAGGAAGTCATATCTTTCCCCGCTCAATGGTTGTCATAGCTTAGTCTCTGCTGGATGGCGGTAGATGTTATAGCCCAAACACTCTTATTTATTCATGCACAGAAAGGGAACAGCTGTTAAATGGCACTTGGTGAACTCTAGAGACAGATTGGTGGAGAAATAGACGGAGGATGAATGACTGAGGTAGATAGACTGCTGACGAGATGAAAAGACAGGTAGTCAATGAGAGGAGCAGACCAACAGGTGGGAAGATCCCTTCATTCTGAATAGACAGCAAAGGGTTTTCTTTCTCTTTGATAACCTAAAAGCCGCCACGATATATCTGCCAGGGTTGGTGGCTTTCACTTAAATCAGTCACTTAACGATTATCCAGCTAGGAAATTGGATTTCTAGCCTCCAAAATTCATTTTGGTGCAAAAACTCGTCACCGGTCACCGGAGCTTTTTGTTCTGGAAACGTGGATTCAAAAAAACTGGAAACTGGGAGTTTTATCATGTAAAGTCTCTGTTATTAGTTTGCTCTTTGGTCTCTCGGATAGCTCAAACATTTGTAACTCTGTGTTGTTCGATAGCTTGGATGTATAATTCATCCTCGGCACTGCAACAGGGGAAACCAGTACAATCAGAATGGAAGGAAGGCGGGGTGGAGTCATGTGTGACTGCAAACCCCCCTTGAGATGCAAGAAGAAGACAGACGAGACAGGTAGAGGAAGAGAAGGTGAATGTGTCGGAGCTTATGAAAGACGGTTCCCTGCGCTTTGTTTTTGGTTTTCCATTCAGCGTCACGTTAGTTTATGGTTTCCAAAACAAGCAGTTATTGAACTCAACACTCAGCGCTTTCATGAAGAAACTGAATGCAGGATATCTGTATTTTGAGTGCTTACTTGTCGTCACTGGTTGTACAATAAGCACTGTATTGCTCCTATAACTCAGTTTGTGTTGGCGCTGGTTGCTCACACTTTTGCATTGATTCAACTTAATTTGATTCCTTTTTTGTTTTGCCTCATTGATTTTGTGCGTCTTGTCTTCACTCTCCGAGGTAAACCAAACTTCTCTGCACGGCTTCGGTTTCGCTTGCAGGACATAAATTGTCAGCAGCAGACCGATACGACTGTCGCTATAACAGGGCTGATGCCTTAATAGAGGCCCGACTGAATTATGCGGTCGAGTGAGAGACTGCGCCGCATGTCGTCGAGGTAATCAAGTGGGTACCTGCTGCCTCCGATGACTCATTGGATTACTGTCTGCTCCGACGAGACATCACAAGGACAGGAAGTACAACAGAACAGCAGGTTTCTCAGCAGTGTCTGCTGTAAATCACTCTGGATTAGAAATGTAGAACATGTAGGTTCATGATGGCAGGAAAAAAAAGGAAAAGTGTGGCTTTTCACGCATGTAGTTATAACAGTTTAATGCTGTCTTTGTCATTTTCAATGTTCCTCCTATCAGTTGAAAAAAAAGAGTTATCGATTTAAACAATCTGGTGCTGATGCTAAAATCGATGCTTCTTTTTTACTTGTGGTCTTTTATTGTGAAACATTTGCAGGAAGTGTGGAGTTCTATTGATGGTAGCGTAACAGAATAAAAGCAAATGGAATTGATTATTTGATGTACTTTTTTGAATGAAAACTATATTTTTGGTAAAAGAAAAAGCAGTAGATCATGTTTGACAAGAATTTTATATGAATATTAAATGTGAGAGAGAAGATCTTGCTATTTGAACTTTCACCAAAGCTTCATGTGAACAATTTCCGAGGATTCACATCACATTGATTTCGTAATAAAATTGTGGCTCGTGCATCTGCAGCCAATGCACTTCTCCACAATGTCACTTAAAATGTATTTTAAAGCCACTTCAGTGGTTCTTGGTCCATCTCCAAATACCATTTAACCTGAGCGAGACAAGCTGTTTTTTTATTACATTGAGTGTAATAAAAACGCTAAATCATATTTCTTAAAATGTTGCACCCTTTTAAGAATAACTTTAAATCAGGGGATGCTGACAGAACCTCTCTACACATCTCTATCTCTCAAGAGTCGTGATCTAATTCTTCACTGCCATGTCAACGACATGATTGGATTTAGAGTTTTATTGAATTTACTGTGTGTCAAGTAAAATGACTCTCCCTTCCCTCTCACTGACCTCGCTGTTGCTCTGCTCCTCCTCCAGGTGAAGGGAGAGGAGGGAAATTCCACGGTGTCGACCTCCTCCAGCACTCCCCGTCCCCATCCCCCTCTCCAGGGGACCCCTTCCCCCACCAGCCCCGCTCCCTGGAACCCGTCACGGACACTTTCCACCAGAACCTCCCCCTGAGGAAGACCCACTCTGACCTCGACACAACCTTACCTGCAGGTGTGTGTGCGCCACCAGGAAGCGCTTACCCTCCTCCGGTGTTTCTCTTTTCCGTTTCTTCTTCTCTTGTCTTCCCGTGGTGCAGTTCACTACAAAAAGAAACATCTCTACTCATTAACTACTAACCCCAATGTCAGCTGAAACTCTGTTGGTGTTGAAACCTTAGAAGCTCTAGATTCTACTGCACAAGGTGTTTTCTGCTTTTTGAAGCTGTAAAAACATTTTCCTTCTCATTTGATACCTTGGGAAGAAGAAGGCAGAGATGGGACCAGGACAGCTAATTTTGTGTTTCTAATAACGATAGAAGATCAAAGATTTTCTTTTTATCTTGCGAAAAAGTATTGCATGTTTATATTCCCACTTGGCTTAATCCTGGTCACTGTGGCAGGAAAACATCTTAATCATTTTCCTCTCTGCTTTTCACAAATCTGAATTTTTAATTTAACAAAAAACACAACAGTTTCTTCCTCCTGTATTTGCGGTGATCCGTTTTGCTTAATAAAGGACCGTGTTGCCAGCAGCCAGGATCTTGTCATGCCTAATTGATTTATTCACTGCAACACGGATGCTCAAATGCAGGGTATGAAGTATTCATGTAAACAGTTTAACTTGAATAAGGCCTTGATTGCAGACAGGCAAGAAAAAGAATAGCATGTATCTGAAATAAAAAATGTTGTTAAGAATGATGAACATTGAACATTTTTTATGTAGTTTATTTCGTGTCCATGACCAAGTCAGAACATTTTATAATCTATTTTGAATTTTGATCCATTACAGAGCAATGCACATTTTTATGCAGCCTGCAACAGCCAATCACAAAAGGGGTCAAGTCACAGGAACACCCGAGATGAGTAGTCATTCACTGATTAATCCAAACGCACACATAAAAAAGCAAACATTCACATCTTGTAGTAAATAGAGTGCAATGAATCCTGAAGGTCTGGTGCTGTTAAGGATTACGTGCTGTTAGTGTGCAGAAGTGTTTTCAGATATAAGTTGGCAGCCAGAAAGTGTGTAGTTTATGTCAAGGACTTATTGTTGTTGAAGTAAGCAAGACAGTCGATATCATGCTGTGAAGGGAGATACGCTTTTTTAGGTGGTTGAATCTGCTATAAGGTCATGTGAGTTTGATTAGATCAGTCGAGTCGTATTAATTGTCTCCTCCTCCTCCACAGGAAACACACCGGACCATCTTCACCCAGGAACTATGGACACGTCTGGACTGCTGTGCTCAAACACACCTTCCTCTTCCTGGAACGGACCTAAGGGCTCCACTTTTTCCCCCGGAGCGTGGAACGAGCCGTACAATTACAGCATGAACAAAGGCCCGGCGGTCCCGCCGAAACAGCACAGCATCATCGGAAACGCTGGAGGAGGGACGCAAGACGGGGTGATGCTGGTGAGCTCAGGACAGTCGGTGAGCTCACTTTCCAGTTCGTTCACGTCGGTGACGAACCCTTCTGGGAGAGGAGGGAATAACATGCCAGGGATTTCACTGGCAGGGGCGATGATGGGGAAACGGAGCGAGACGGAAGGGGCTGCCGCGGACGGAGGGAGGGGAGGAGGAGGGGGGATGGCGGAGGCAGGGAAAGGGCGGGAGAGGTCGGCACGTTCCATAGCAGCGGCGAACGCCTTCAAGTTCCGGGAACGTTCCCTTTCTACGCCCACGGATTCTGATTCCTTCAGCTTTACAGAAGGTGGTTTAGGCCAGCCAGACGGGAACATGTTGCCCACAGGGAACGGGAATGCTATGACATTAACAGACCACCAACAACAGCATCATCACTTTCTGGGTTTGGGTGAGAACTACGCCCTTCTCTACCCTAGAGGGAGCTCCGAAGACAGCGCCAGTACCACCGACACAATCTCTGTCACAGCTTCAGACTACAGCGCCGACGGCCGCTTGCGCCTACGCTCCCGCTCCATCTCGCTGAAGAAATCCAAGCGCAAGCCGCCCCCTCCTGTGAGGAGTGTCTCTCTCATGAAGAACCTTGGAGAAGCCGAGGGGCGAATCCACCATGGAGGCGGCCTTTACCGGGATGGCCGGCCAAAGAGCCTGCACATCCCCAGGGACCACTTCCCAGACTTCCAGCCCGATTTCCTCCTGCCCAGTTCGTCCTGCTCCTCTAGACCCAGTGTTGTGGAGCGGGAGCTGGGCCATGGAGGCACTGATGGACCTCCAAGCCTAGAGGTCCAGGCACCCGAGAGGGAGGGAGAGACAGAGCTAACCTTCCCCACTCACTGGCAGCTGGGGGAGTGGAAGAATGACCCTTACAGGTAGGAAACACTTATTTGCTTGATCCAAATTGAATGTGTCTACTTTTCTGGTTTGTTTTGTTTGTTATTTGTTTGTTAGGTTAAGACTAGAAATGCAATGAGTTCTCTCTTCCAGGTCTTTATCAGGCTCCAGCACAGCAACGGGTACCACAGTGATTGAATGTATGAAAGTCAGAGGCAGCTCGGAGTCCCTGCTTGATTCCCCCTCCACCTCCAGAGCCACCTCACCCTTACAGCTCTCCATGGAAACCGACATCAAGGCGTACTCGCCCTTCAAACCCCCGGGGCTCATGTCCCCATCAAGTGGCTATTCCAGCCAGTCAGAGACTCCCACCCCAACTGTTCCACTCAGTCACATGGCAGGTCACGGGACAATAGGGACATTGGGTTGTAAGTTGCGTCCAAAGATCCCAGAAAGGAAATCATCGCTACCGTCGCCCAAGGACCCCACTGCGAGGTCTAGATTGTCCTTTGAGATGCCAGGGAATGCACATCTGGAGCTGTCATCAATCAAGCCAAAGCAAAAGGCCAGCAGGCGACATTCTGACACCTCCACGGCGGCAAAGCCGGGGAAAATCAGCCCCAGCTCCACGCAGGCATTGCCTGTGGTTACCCAGAATGAGCTGAAGACTATTCGGCTTCGCTGCGTCTCTCGTGGTGACCTGGAGGACTGCCCTGATGGGGCGTCTGACACCATCGAAGAGGAACAGCATGGCCGGGACTTTGGCGAGTACCCCAGCCCGCCACCTACCCTACCTAAACCCAAACCACCTGTCGCTGTCAAGCCCCCGTTGCCCAAGCGGCCCCTAAACTTACTCCTCAAGTCTCCTTCCCCTTCCTCCACTTCCCCCCTAGCCCTCGATTCACCTCCTGGCTCACCCGTGGACCGGCCTGTGCCCCTAGGCAACATCTACAAAGTCATGAGAAGACCCAAACCCAAAAAACCTCCACCACAAACAACAAGTCCCTCAGTTCTACCAGATTTTACCACCCATCCACAAACTGCCTATGATCATCCATTCCTCCACCACTCCCAGTCCCTCTTCGATCTCCCTCCTCTTCCGGACCCCCAGCCTCTTCTTGAAGACCCAGCAATGGAGCCTGAATTTGATGCAGACCCAGAGATCCGTCTTGATCCTGGGGACGGAGGTTCGCTCCCCTCTCCCTGCAGCAACCAGGAGGCTCTGGAGCTCCAGGACAAAAGCAAGACCCTCCCCTCAAGGATGACAATCTCCTGTCTGGCAGAGCTGTCGGACAAAAAGAAACCCAAGGTGAGGAAGACATGTCTCAGAAAATGCATTATTCTAGGGGCGTTATTAATGCAAACAGTAGAATTACAGTTCATGGAGGCAAAGAATCTCATTTATGTCCTGATTTTTAAGTAGTTTTACTCATGTCTCAGAATTTGTGATGTATTTAAATCGCCATTCGTTTCCAGGTTCCACCTCCAGTCCCCAAGAAGCCGAATGTTCTGCTTCTTCCCTCGTCGGTCCACTCCTCCACCAATGGCAGCACAGAACGTCAGACCCCACAGACCGACAGCCCCGTGGGTCTCCGGTCTCCCGTGGGAACATTCCCACCAGAAGAGTTTCACGGTTCTCCTGTTGTTCCCGATATGCTTGAGCAAGATGAGAACCACTTGGGAATATACGAGGAGAGTTCCAAAGAGTCGTCACTTCATTCGTCCCTGCATGATTCCTCCCTCACAGAGCTGGAAGGGCAAATGACCTGCACTGGGATTGGGGCAGGTAACTGAAGCAAATTCATACCCTGCAGGCTTTATTTCGAATTTTTGAGGTAGCGTTCATTAATGACTTAGCTAGCGAGCAGTGACTTACTTTTGGTAACTTCTGTGGTGTTGCAGTGTCTGTCGACTAGATATATGTGCACTTACACATCAGAATCATCAAGGTGTGGTTGTGTATTTTTGGATCGCTAAGAACAATGAAATACACCCTACAGTACATGCAGTATTAGCTAATGAATACTGCTTTATGTTAGTCAGAGGTTTTATATGCATGTGTTTGATGATAGCCTGTCAGAGCTGCTATGGTTGATTAGGATCCTTTCCTGCTGCGTTTGATGCATAACTTTCTGATTCTGCCAGAGGAGATTTCTCCGGTTTTGAAGCAAATCAAAGCTCAATTGCTCTAAAATTGGACAGAATCAAAACACAGACTGGTTCCCACTGTTTGAAACAGTGAAGATGACATTCATCATTATTATCTAATTAATACCTGGATGTGTATGCAACCAAGTCAGATGTACTTGGAATTGCATACACGTGTGTTATGAATATTGGCTTTTGGTGTATAATTTCTCTCATCTTGTTCAGATGACTCGGCAGTCAATGAGAAGACGGTACTCCACATCGCAGAGGAAACGGACGGCGACTTATTGGCCGGCACGGCCGCAACGCACACCACCGAAGACCTGTTCACTATTATTCACAGGTTTGTGTGTGCACACACATACATATACTGTAGTACACATCTCCGACATTCAGTATACACACTTGATATTACAGTAGATGCCTTTCCTCAAGAGGCAGTTGGAAAAGGCTTAAACGGTGCATTATTAACTTATTACCGGAGATGGTTTCAGCCAATGCCAAGCTTCCCTGCCGGCTTATTATAACCCCGAGCGTGACGCAAAGACACATTGTCCCATTGAAAAGGTGTGAGGCAGACCGGACTTGAGGTTCCCTAGCAACGGCTACATGTACATTGTGCTACTGCATGACCACCGGTCCTTTTTTCAGGATCTCTCTAACGCACACACACACACACACACACACACACACACACACACACACACACACACACACACACACACACACACACAAGAAAGCTAGTCTCTAAGCAACAAGTGGTCATGATTTTACCTGGCATGATGCTGAAAATAGCTTGAAAGCCAGAGAAGGAAAAGGTGAGGGGGGGGGGGGGCAGTGTGTTCATCTGTCAGGAGAAGGGATGGAGTCCTTTCTGTAGTTACACGGTTTACTTTACTGGAGTCACTTTCACACATAGCTCCTCGTAGATTACTGGAATGACCTTTCAGGCGTCGCTAGTGATTTTTTACTATTCACACATGCACTACATTGAGAAATATTGCCGCCTCGCGCCCCAGAATAGATGGGGCGAGGGACAGTCCAGCAGATAGCAGTAAGGCCATAAAACAGAACAAGAGGAAGATAAGGGCAAGGTGTACACAGCAGTAGACACCTCTTATTATTTTTACAAACATCGCGGGTGAAGAGCCTTTTTTGGTCCGACAATGTTACTGGTTTCATTTAACTTTCCTGAAATGTCACTAGGTCTTGAATTGGGAAAATTGTTGTTACAGATTTCCTTCTGATATCGATATCAATGCCTGTCCCCATTCACCCAAGCAAGAAAATGTTCCTAGAATTTCGGGGACTTCATGTGTGAAAGGGGCCCATCTAGTTTGAGGAGTAAATTACGAATTAAATGCGCTTCTTTATCTTATCATTTTTTACCGTTTGCTAATAATCTTCTCTTTTCTTTCCCCAGGTCCAAGCGAAAGGTTCTAGGTCGCAAGGAGCCGACGGACTCCTTCGGCAGCCGCCAGAGTCTTGTGTCCCCGGTGAAGCACAGCACCAGTGGTAGCGACCTCCGAAACATGACCCTAGGCAGCCAGAGGTCCAGCTCCCGCAATGAGAACTTCATGGCCCTGCTACAGAAGAAAGGCGGCAAGTCTTCCGGCGGAGGAGCCAGAGTCTCCGCTATGGAGCTTCTCAAAAGCACAAACCCTTTGGCGCGACGGGTCACAGAGTTTTCAACCACCTCGTCGCCGACCGGCGAGGGAGGAGACGGCAAACCCAACGATCAATGAACGGAAGTATCGGTAACGGATGTTAACCAGGTCCGTTTGCTGTCGACAAAGCTACCAACCAATTCTACAATGTGCCACCCACTGCAGATGGGGCCTTTTGACCAACGAGTCCAATCGGCTCGCTCCAACTACTGATTGACCATTTGCACTGTCCAATCAAATTGGAGCACATTTTTTGGGCAAAATGGTCCCTCCCATGGTTGAAGCGCTATTGTTCCCTGTCAAACCAGCCCCTCTAGGAAAAAGCGAGAAATCTGTGGAGAGCGATGTTTGTTCCTTGCTATATTTTCAATGAAGGGTGGAGGTTTTAAGGTTTTGCTTCAACGCTGCACCATATTTTCCTTGTTGGGGGACCTGCTCAGTGTGGAGGCTGGATGCATAGATGGATGGGTGGAGTGGACACTGGGAATATAAGGATATACAGTGGATATCTTTACTCCTGGCTCCTTCTGGATGAACACAACAAGAGTCCCAGATGACAACAATCGCCATACATATGAATCTGTAACCAGTTATTACTGATCCACAAGGATACCGCAGAGGATCAGTAATTAAATGAATCCAAGAAATGAATGGAATAAAAATTCAGAAGATTTAATAATTCATCTACGATTCAACCAAAGCCCTCCAACCAGTAGGACTACAGTGCCGAAACCTTCAGACCCATATGAATTGAAGGGTAAATTATTCATGGTGTAAAGAGGCACCTGAGAAAGAAAATATGCCCCAAAACCTTGGGCATCATCATAACTCCTCATCTCTCTATGGTGATACCGTAGCAGTCGTCAGCATTGAGCGTGACTTGAGCGGACAAAGTGCAGGATTAACAAAGAAGAAACCACATGGGGGGCTTTTTGCCGCCAAAGATGACGCATGGGCATGTCACATATTTTGTTGCTCGTGCTACGAACATGAACGTGGACCTTCGAAAGAAACATTCTGCAGAGGTACCCGGCAAAAAGAAGAGACATTTTGGAACGCAAGCACTTTTCTTTTTTGCATTCGCGTCCTGACATTTTTTTCTTGGGACATTCATCAATCCATGTTTTTTCAGTCTTTGTTTAAATGTTTTTTTTTCTCTTGTATGCTTTTCCTACACATGCCAGATGGCCAGATACTGTACATGCTTCATTGGATCGTACGGTATGTATCATGTACAGAGATAAATGTGACGCATCTATCAACGGATATCATTTGCGAACACAAGGACTAAAAATAGTGTACAGCAAGCAGCTTGGACTACACACTGCCCACATGATGGAAGGAAAAACACACTCAAACAAACACACACAAGGACTAAGGAGTAACGCCATGGAAGACAAACAGAAAAACAGACGGGAACAGTGTGTGTGTGTGTTCATACGAGTGTGTGCGCAGATGAAATCTTGCCTGTGGAGTTTCTGTACGGAGAGTATGAAGCAGGCCTGGTTATTAAACATGGTTTTTATCCATGTTTGGTCTCTGGTGACGGGACCAAAGGACTATTAAAAACTACAAACAGACCAGAGGGGGCCTAACGGTGTGTGTGTGCATGTGCGCTTGTGTGTGTGTTCATGTGTATAGAGGGAAGTGCCAAAAAAACAAGACAGAGAAGAAAGACAGAGGGAGAGCGTGCACGTACCTGTGCCTGTTCATGTGTTTGGCATTTTTGTGCGTGTGTCATCACTCCGTGTGTATATATGTGTGTATGTGTGTGCATCGTCACCCCGCCATCTCTTTCTTGGGGATAGGTTTGGAATGCCCCTCTCCATACACCCACACATTCCCCAGGTTCCGGAACCAATAGGATTCGGGAATCAAGAGGATTCCAGAACCCGAAAGGATTCTGCAGAGTTTGGAATTCCGGAACGAGGGAGCGACTGTGTGCTCCGTCTGCAGTGTCGCAGAGGGACGTTGCGGGGGTCGTTTCTGTTTGTTTTTCACACTCTGTCTCTCTCGCCTCAAAGGTGAGGCGACGGTCTGTGCCTCCCTCCTCCTTCCCACTCGTTCCTCTCCTCCTCCTTCCCACTCGTTCCTCTCCTCCTCCCTTCATCGCTGCTGGAGAACGCGCTCCATCTGTCTCTCTGCATCTAGCGTCATCCCTGTTTCCCTCTCTTCTTCTGGCACGTACGGTAGCACACATTCTCTTTCGTCGCCTATAAACTGCAGCCTCTTTCTGTTTTTACACGTAGCACCACTCCTCTATATCACTTCCTCTTTTAACCGTCTCTACATCCTCCTCCCTCCCTGACCCTCCCCCATTTTCCGTTCGCCTTCACCCCGTCTCTCCCATCTCTCTCCCTCCTCTCCACCTCTCTGCATTCAGTCTATGCATCCGAGCTCGGCAGACGACACGACACCGGATGAATGTCAATGACTGACTGTTAAGAAAATACATGCTGTGCTTAGTTTGAAAAAGAAAACACAAAAAAAAATCAATCAACGCTTACGTATCTTCTGCCTTCTCTCTTTCTTGCTCTCTGAGTTTTTATACTTTTATTTGAACCTTTCTTTCGAGTATCCCAAACGTGGGATTAACATGGAGGAGTGAATGGATAGGATCTGTGCACAAACACGCAGGGTTTGAATGTGTTTTTGCATAAAGGACCTTTACTTTTGGACTTATGAGCGAAACACCCTGCGGTATTTGACCCCCTGACCGACCCTCAGTCCTGGATCACCGTGTGGACGGTCTGAGAATGTGTGGATTAGCAGCGGTTCAGCTCTAACACCTGATTTATCCCCTGCATGGATGGACGTGTGGAGGGGAGGAGGGAACCTTTCATCTCTTGACGCCCAGTCGATCCCTCGGTGCTATTGAGTCAGAGCTCCCCCTAGTGGGCGGAGAGGGAGGGAACCGCACCCAACGACGAGAGAGTAAAAGAAAAGAAAACTCCTTCACACACGTCTCTCTTCCCTTCAACAGTCCTTCAGGTACTCCATCATCCTGAAAAAAAAAGATTTAAAAAATACATAAATGATCACCATCTATGATGACTAGTCAAGTGACGCTTGTTTTAAATATTTAGTGAATGAAAAAAAGATAAACCTATAAATCTCTGTGTTTGTTTGCCTTGTATACTGAATTATGGGCGTGTCGCTGCAGCGCCGACTGTGTTTTTATTTTGTTCTTTTTTTTTTGTATTATTTGAGCTGCCTTGGTAGTAAACACACACAAACGCACACACAACCTTTGCAAAGAGTGTAAAAAAGGGAGCATTTGTGTTTAATCTGAATCTAATCTGTACTCGCTATCTCCAAACAAACATCTGCCCACATCTGCATTCATATACAGGCATGCAGAGGAGGGCAGTGTGTTGATACTTTACCCCTTTTAGAGCAATATCCCTCAGAGCAATGACAGATCCGAGATCAGATACGTGAAGTTGGAAGCGAGATCAAAAAAACCTACAAAAATGCATTTGAGCTAAACCCACAGATTCAGGGGCCAGCGTGTGAGCAGAGAGGAGATATGAGTGCAGTGTCGGGAGAGACGGGATGTGTTTGTTTCGGCACGATAATAACGGGAACAGTTTGATGTTGAAGAGCATTACGTGGTGTGGAGACGCACGGCACGTCTAAAAATGGGGGTGTAAAACGTGGTGTTGTTTTGCCTCCTGTGCCGACAGATGAATACATCTTCAACGCGAGGCTTTTGGTTCGACAGTCTTTAACAGGGAAGTGAATAGAGGTACAATCATGTGGGTACACTGGTAAATAAAGAGTGCTATCCCTTTTGTGGGGATGCATTTCATTTGATATTGAGGTTTTCAGAAGCAGAGTTTCACCGGAGGCAGAAATAATCTCATCGGTTGCGTTACTGCCAACTCGGTGCCATATTTTTTGATACATTTAAGGTCTGCACACAACAAACTTACGGACGATGGGAACAATTGGCCCTCAGTGCATTCGGCCGACCAATCCACCAACCAATGAGAATATGTTAGCCTCAAGTGCAGCTCCGCCTCCAAGAAATGTCTGCAGAAGTATATTACCAATCTGAAATATGCTGACAACATATTTTATTGAAAATGACATTTATATAAAGTGTGAAAAAGAGAGCTGACACTAGAAATATATTGGACATGTAATCCATTATCCCTTCTTTAGGAGCGAGGGAGAGGCGGAGGAGGGGAATGAGGGTGTGGAGCAAAGGGGTTGATTCCTCTGAACGCGAGGATTACCACGCCGGAATATACATCATCTTTCCCTTCACCTCCTCTCTCCCTTCGTCTCGGCTGTCGCGTGACTCAGAGGAGTAATCGTGTTAAAAGCCCCCCCCCCCCTCTCTCTCTCACTCTCTCGTTTGCTACCCTGCAAAGTGATAGAAAGGTACGGCAAAGCACAAAAGAAAAGAGCACCGCAGTCGCTCGTTAATTAATTTGGTTTAAATTGTCGGTCTCTGCAGATACGGACCAGCCGAGCACAGAGACGCACATTAAAAAGCCGTGGGGAAGAAGTGAAGCTGGAGTTCAGGCGAGCATACTTTCCTCTGAAACATTAATCTGAATAAGCGAAACAGAGTTTGTGTGACTGACACGTTCACAGTCTTTTGTTAAATATAATGAGCAGAGCAACTAAAACACCAAATGCCAGAGGAGCATAAACAAATCAAACGTCCCTTCAGACTTTTAGACTACAAAACAAAGTGGACCACAAATCATTGTGTCAGAGATTACAAAGGAGATAATCTGTCACAGACACACACAAAACTAGAAGTCTTATTAGTTTACCGCTTTGTAGAGAAATCTACCACAACGGACACAAAGGCTTTACAATAATTGCAGAACTTAAAGGAGCAGCGTGTAGGATTTCGCGACCCAACCACAACCCCAACAAGTATCAGGTTTTGGGTCAGGTTTTTTTTTCGTGTTAGGGTTATTTCCCAGATATAACTTCTCTCTCTGACTGCTCTGTTTTGCAATGAGAAAAGGGAAAAAGATGCAAAAACTACAGTGTAGCTTTGGGTTTTCACCATTTAGGCCGGTGCAGAACTTCGACCTATAACACAAAACTTTATATATTTTGGCTGTAGCCCACCACTATGCAGTGCGTCTCAACTGAAAGCCCCCATACATTACATATGGAAATGTATTTTAGGGGTAAAATGCTGAAAATGACCAGAGTGTGCAGTCCAGCTTTACGAGAGAGTGAACGAGGAGGGGAAAGGAGAAGGAAGGGTAATGGTTGCAGATTTGGGCCAAAGAGTATGTTGCATTTGTTTTAAGGGTTTGCCAGAGGGGTGGCGTTTACAGCGTTTGGACATTTTAGGGGTACTGACGTCCCTCGCTGGTAAACCCCGCCCTCCTGCCACACCAAGCAGAGTAAAACAAACCCCCCCCCCCCCCTCCCCCCCCCCCCCCCTCGCCGAGA